TAGGAAGAAAACGATAAACGGTTCTTCTGTAGAATGAGCTTCACTATTAAAATGAACAGCCACATAACTTGAATTATTGGAACGCTCTATTGTTCAAAACTTGCGGCTGTTCATCCCTCTCGTGTTTGTTCAATTTATTGTATTTTACACTTTTACGTGTCTAATTAAAAACAGAACAGAACAGATATTTTATTAAAAAAAAAAGAATATCCAAAGCCATTACAATATGTGACGCAATATTCATATATCATGCTATAATTTTCCCCTTTCTGAATTATATATGTAGATTTTACTAAAACAACGTATCATAAGTCAGCAGGATGTCTGATGGTTATGTCTTTCTTTTTAGGAAGTCAAGAAATTGATGTGTACTGCAGATAATTTTTTATTACTATTCAAATTTGTATTCAAATATCATTCATAAACACAATATGTGAAAGAGCAATTCATTCCAATATATATCTCCATAAAAGAATGATCATGTTTTATATGTAAGAGAGCTCGTAATCAGTTATAGATCAATATACACGTGTCAAAATGCGTTATTTGATTCGTTACTTCTTGTTGTTTTTTTGTTGTTGTTGTTGTTGTTGTTTTGACACGCGTATTGCAATTCTGTGTATTATCTGTGCTTATTATATTTATATTCTGACATATGTGGGGTGGAACTGTTAATTAGATAATTTTGTGGTCGAATAAATAAGTGCAGAATTATTATAACGTTTATTGTCATAAACTTATTAACAATATAATGTAAATCACTAATAAGCTTTTCTTAAGTTAATTATGTTCTAATCGTCGACTCTCCAGTTTATTTTTAGTAAATGTCTACACGTTCATTACTTTTTTAAAATATCTCCATGTATTTCTGTGTAATTTTGATTATAACTGTATATTCCAAACTCATCATTTATGAATCACGATCCCGTTGACTTCTGACATATACAAAAATCGCATAACGCTAATTAAATTATGCATGCTTAAACTTTAATGATTATTGTAACTAAGTATAACATTAAAGGTCATTGACTAATTTACATTATCGGCAAATCATTAGTAAAAATCATTCCTTAGGTAATTAGAAGTGGTCCTGTTTTGTTAAGCACCTCCTTTTGTCTCAATATGAAATGACATTCGTTTTTGTCTTCGCTTTACATAAAATGAGTGTTTTCATATCCTTTTTAAATATATTAATTTGGCGTTACATGATATGCGAGATAATTGTCCACTTTGAGCATAAATGTATATTCTTGCAGGCTCTGGTATTAAGTATTACTTTCATTACAATATTCAAAACAGTCTGAATGCATTATCGTTATTTTAATTAATGATTTCACAAGTGTAAGGAGCGGAATGATAGTTCTACGTGAATACAGCGTTAACATATCTTTTTTACTTAAGTAAATTAATTATAAATAACAATCACTGTGCCACAATATATCATTACAAACTTTGATGGAAAGTATATAAAACTTCTTGAGTGAATCACACAAATAGTGACTTATTCTGTTTTTTAATCTGCAATTCAAGTTTAAATCTTTGAGGTAGGCTGTATGAAAGATCAAATAAATATTATGAACACTACCGAAATAAAAACCTTACAATATTTATAAATGTATAAAGAATGAAATGTTAAACAAATAAAGACAGAGCATCAATGAAAGTTATTTAAAAAAAACAACATTGTAAATAGTAAATAGATAAATAAGAAAAACACAATAGCCTACCCCCCCCCCCAAAAAAAAATCAAAAAAAAATCAAATAACCTTTATCCACGTGTATTATTACCATACCGTTGTAACATTAAATTAGGGGTCAAATCGAGTTTATAACACAAATAACGGGAGAATTGATAATTACCCTAGAGATAACCTCTACTGTGGTGCCAAATTACCGCACGGACTTTCAGTGATTCAAATGAAAAATGTGCTCATCTTAGGCTGGAACCAATGAATGTTTTTTTCCCCTGTTTCGCAATGTAAGTTATTAGTTCCTGGTTTAAATGTTTTATAACCCCGTTCTGACTTATCTGTATGTTTGATCTTTATGGGCAACATGTTCAGGCTTCCACAGCACAAAATGTGTCCACTAGTTATTTTTCTTCTTTGTTTAAAATGACCCCCCTTAAAAAGGAAGAAGAAGAAAGGCAACAACAAAAATCAAACAACAAACAAACAAAAACAAAACATTAAAACACACGTCTCTAGGTTTTTGAATAAATAATGATTCAAGTCTTTATTTTATTCAAATTTGTAGTTTTGTATATGAATTTGCAAAATTTAATTATATTTTGCTTAATCCTGTAAATATTAATAATAATAACAATAAACATTTTACAGACCGTTTTAAAACTCTACAGGTGTGCTCTGTGCAACTTTTAATCGGAATTCAGCAATGATTATTTTCTTGACTCTCGGTGTATTTCGAATTTTGTGGTGGTAAATCATATACATGATAAATGTACGAATGAAAAATGGTATCCAATTTATAAAAACATTTCTAAATCACAAAAAAATGAAAGGCGATGATATAATGGTGATTTACATTATTATAAAATGGTCTGCACACATGTATATTTCAATATAAGAATAGAAAGGGTGAGTTTTACCAGTCTTCTCTTTTACGAAGGTATCAAAAAGTACTTATCGTTCAAAAAAATATATGTTTAAGGGAACAAAGATTTTATTTACATCGACTATACGCCGTGAGATCCGCAAAGCTTGTTGCAAAACTATTTAGTAAAGTATTTTCTAAATTTCGTTCTAATTCTGGATTTGATTATAAAAAGTGTATTTTTTAACATGATAATCCTTCGCAGCCTTTAAATATTGAGGGCAAATGTGTTTTGTCAGTCCAGTGGTGGATATAATTCATAATACATTAATCAATATGACACACATCCTAGGTTCTAACTTAACTTTGTGTCAGTGGGCCTAAAACCTTCGATGCGTGGCGTATTAATTAAGGTATTATTGAATATCGTCCTGCACGACATTATTGTTGTGAGTGCACTTGTTTGGTACTTTAAAGTTTTTCTAATTTGTTGATTTCTTAGTCGGGTTGTTCCAATATACCTAACTTAAATAATGTTAAATCACCCTTAGCATAAGTTACCTGCTTTCTATTTTTATTTTTTAACAGCTTATCTATGTTATGCAGCCTTCATAACCTTACATCACCCGTTTATCATAGAACTTTCAATAGGACAATTAAGTGCAATTTCATGAAAAGCGGCATATGGCCCCAGGTAAAAAGTGCGTGTGCACTTAAGGAGAAAACAATGGACGGAACTGAATAAAATTGAATTTTTAAGGGGGATGTAAGGTTATGAAGGCTCTATATTAACATAGATAAGCTGTCACAAGACAAAGTTAGAAAGTAGGCAATTTATACTAAGGGTGATTCAACATTATTTAAGTGAGGTACATTGGAACAACCCACCTAGGAAAACAAAAAATTAGAAAGACTTTAAAGTTGCATTTAGCGAAACGCGTCAATAATAGTGTCGACGCGTTTAAATAAAATACTTTGTTGAACTTGTTACGTGTATATAAGGTATTAATCATAATGCACAAATATTTTGTTACTTTGAAATAAAAAAAAACGATATAAATGAATAGAAATATTGATATTTTTATCAACAAAATCAAAATAAAAGCTGTTGTTTTTAATGTGACTATTCAATTATATTAAAACAAATATGCTTGTGAAAATAATCGTCGAAAGAAAAGTGGTAGTATAAAGATAGGCTGTATGGTATAAACAAGGGTCAAGAGAGGGTCAAAATGGCCTAAATTAAGATAGCAAAACGAGATATTGCCTCAATTAACGCAGTTTCAGTAATTCATCAGACTACGATTTGCGAAAAAAATGCACAAGCTTTTCAAATATTTTAAAAGAAGTTTTATAAGATATATCTATATACTAATAAGATCAATGAGCCTTAAATCTTAAAACTTACGAAACTTTCAAAAGATTATAACATGTAGCATTATGTTTCTTTATTCACATTCATTGATTCTTATCATTTTTAAGAGTATCAACCGCTCGTGAAAGTATTTTAACTATTAGAATGCCAACTTATCATATAGGATCGATGTTTTGTGATATTGTTTGGTGTACATGTAATGAATAACATGCAGTATATGGTTGATACGGTGCATTAGGACTTTTGTAAATATCACGGCGTTTTACAATGAAACAAGTCATAGACGCTATTGTCAAATAAATAAATAGTTTGACTAAAAATCTGCATTGAGCGAGTTTGCAGTTTAAGAACAATTCAAAATAATATTGAACTAAGACACTGTGACCTGCAATTAAATACGTAAACTGCACTTTTTGTCCCGAGAGTTTATTAAATGTCGAATTATTATGATCGAAAAATTCTGAAACTGGAAGGGATCATTTATTAGTGTGGCTGCCAGGTATTATTTTAAATTTATTTAAAACATACTGAGAAACATTCTGGAATAAACAAACAGAAATATGGGTTACTGAAAGATATTGTCAAACCGTGATGTGTAACAATATCTTTAAACAGTTTTTGATTGCGTTTTCGTTTTAAAATTTGTATGGGTAATGTTAAGGCTGTTTTATGCTGATTACATACAATGTAAGTTACATAAATACTTTTAATAAGTCTACAAGCCACAAAAACAATATATAAATACTTTCAACGGAGTTTTATTGTGTTGCTTTATGTTGCTGTGCCCGAAGGTATTCACAACTTACCGATCAATTTGATCAAATTAATTTAGAAAACATAAATCTGACTGGATGATAAGCATGTTGTTTGAAAACATACGGGTGTTAGCAAAAATATACATATTTTTTGTTTTGGGTTTTACGTCACATCGACACAGTAGAGGTCATATTGCGACGTTCCAGCTTTACTGGTGGAGGAAGACCTCAGGTGCCCTTCCGTGCATTATTTCAGGCACGAACGGGCACCTGAGTAGAACCACCGACGTTCCGTAAGCTAGCTGGATAGCTTCCTCACATGAAAGAATCCAAAGTCCCTGTCGGGATTCGAACCCACAGCGGTGAGGGGCAAGTGGTTTGAAGTCAACGACCTTAACCACTCGGCCACGGACGCCCCAGATATACATATTAAAACATATACAGTTCAATGGTGGAATTGCATTTAGCACATTATAGCGTGTGAAAAATGTAAATATGATTAATGTCGTTATTTTTTTTATAGAACGGATGTCGAAATTCATAATTTAGATGTTAAGTTGTATACTGCAGCCTGTTATAACGTGACACCGTATTTACAGATATATGAGACATTTGTTGTGCAATCGTAGAAGTAACTTGAGAAATATACCAGGTATAAAGTAAATTAACGTTCGGTTATTCAGCGTTAAATTTATAACGGTAGCTAGCACCATGATAAGTAAGCAAACATTAGTCATTAAACATAATTCATCAAAAAGAATTGTCTTCCAAGGGTTCTTATATCAATCCTAAATTAAAACACGTGCCTTAATAACAAATGTTAAAAAGAGTTTTTAGTAATATGTTTATCTTTGGAAATACATACATACAATTCTTGTTTCTTAATTCCTTGTTTCTTTGTTTCTTGATTCCTTAAACTTTTGCGATAACCGTAATTAATTAAGTTTCAATGTAATTATATTATCATTACAAATGTATCTGACTGTCAAAATACTGAAATGATATAATTTGTATAAATTGGACATAAATGTTATTTTCATTTCCTGTTACTTTGTAATTGTCTTGACAGAATATTAAATGATTTTGTTTGTGTTGTTTTCCGGTGTGTATATTAAAAATAATTTTGACATTAGTCTGTAATCAAACAAGTAATAGAGAAGGGTTATGTTTCCAGTATCTAGTTAATCTTTTTCATCATTACGCACTTAAGTGAAATGTAGAATAAACAGTGTTTTTCGTCATTATATTGACAAAGTACTAATTAAAAAGAAATAAAAACAAAAATAGGAATTGTATATTTATAAAGCTTGAATATATTAAGTGTTTCGCAACAGCTCGTTGCTTTTCAAAACCCAGAGTTTCTCAATGATAATATTGATAAAGAGATCGAACAACGTGCTTCAAAAGCAGGGTATGTAAATTTAAGATTCATTTTAATTTCTACGCAATTATTTTGTAAATGTATGCAGTTAAACTTTTATTGTTTGTATGCATTCAAATTACGACATTTTCATATTTGATGGCCCAGTCACATTCTTAATATGTCAATAAGTACATATTATTTCATGACATGTAGTAAGAATGAGTTTACTAAGCGCATTCTTATACTAGTTATTTTTTATATATGTTATAGACCGTTGGTTATTAAGCTGTCACAACATATTGCTCCGTTATTTAGATACCCGCCTGTTTCCTATTGTACAAATAGATGTCAAGTGTAACAATATTGCAATGTTTTACACGGTACATATTTCATACGTTTATTGTAGTCCTTCTTACCCATGCCTTTATGTACGTTTATCGTTAGAAGATTTTTTGCCTTTTACTGAATATTTTATCTTTCTAAAGTACATGTAGTACAAAAACCACCATAAAACTGTAAACATTAAAATTGCTAGGTTTTATTGTACACTATTTGATGAAATATATGCATAAGAAGCCGATATGATAAGGAAAAAGGTTTGTGAGAGAAACGTATATGTCTGCTGTTCGTGCAAACAGATAAACGACAATGTCAAAATAATATTCTGTTGTTATAGAAAAAGCAAAACAGAATGATACAGAGCATAATCGACAAAGGGATACACTTAATATAATTGAATATGAAAACATGCCATATGTCTTAATGTAGTAGATACAGGTGCATATGACTAATACTCGAATTTTGAAAACCATAATATATTATCAAAAGACGTGCACACTATTGTAATGTTACACGATAACGCCAAAAAATACCTTTATATTTTTTAAATATCTTATTAAATATACTTATTTTTTCAGCATATTTCAAGACATTGAATAAGGTTATACAGGTACCCATCAATAAGTTATGTTATGTACGTTAAGATCTTTGAAAATTACAAAAATTCAATTAAAGAGTTTTTCCTTGAAATGAGCACAATACCGGTACTTCGATAAAAAGGCGTTAAACTTAAGATGATGTTTCTTATACACTTTTATTAATGTATTTCCTAGTTATAAATAGCTCACACGAAAAGTTGTTCTACCATGTCATAATTAAAATTCATTATTATCTTCATAAAATAAACACGCTTTTTGTGCTAAATTAATGACAAGAATTTTGTCTAATTATTCCAAGTTTCTTTAGATTAAAATTGCTAACAGACCGATAAAATATCTTCTATTATACGACTGTGCTATGGTATTTTCATGTTTTGAACAGATTCAGCATTTATATAATGGCAGATTTAACCGAAGTATGACCGAAGGGTTATTCAACATCAGAAGAGAGAATCGGCCCAGCCGGTTTCGGTTCAAATAGAAAATAGTCTCAGGGAATAGTACATATGTGTTATGTAAAATGTATAAGTGTGTGTACTAAAACAACGTAATATAACACTAAATGACAGTGATGATTCGAATTAAAAAGCAAAACATTACAAACAATGGCTATTGAAACTTCAAGGAAGAAGTAATCGAGAGGTAATCGAGTGGTGCTTGGAAATTCGTTAATTAATCAGGTATTTATATACTCACCATTTCCATGTTTTGTATACATTGATTTTAATATTTTCCTGTTTGTATTTGTATTAACATCACAGACTTATTACCTTTATTCTGTAAGTTTTTAATTAAGATTCTTAACTATTGTTTTAGCTTAGGTACATCTCTTTCATTGCCACGCAAATGTGTGCCATGCATTTTAATAAAAGAATCGTAACGATAGCTGAAATTGTTGTAATTCAACTTCTCGAACCTTATATTATTACAATTTTACATTTATTGTACTTTACACAATTAATCTTAACACTTTAACAATCATAATAATTTTACGCATGTTATAAGACTTAATAAATTATTTCTAATAATTACATGTATATCCATATGATTTTTATTGTTAATGTTTGTTATTCTTGCATATAATGATCCTTAAATGTTGTTTTGACTCGTTCCATTTGTCCATGAATAAAAAGTTACATAATAAAATTTTTTAGTATTAATCCTTGCAATAAATCAAATAAATAAAATTATATCTACTTGAAAACCCCGTTTTGCTTAAAGTGTATTTCTAAGACCTATATCACACACACATCAGAGGGTAAAAAAATGAATATATTTCAGATTGAGTATGTGATACATGCACATTTTGTCAGTCCTTAATTGAGTGATAAGTTTCCAATTAAATACATACAGTCATGTGTTTCATTTGTGTCAAACAATTTGATCGTTTAAAACTTTTGAATAAACGTATGACTTATTTTATTACATTAAAGAAATGAGAAAAAATGCAATGAAATTGTTCATTTTATTTTTCAGCCTTAAGAAGAAAGAAACAGTGATTTGACATTAAACAATCAAGAAGATGATACTGGATATTAATATAAAAAGGCGTCAAATAAGGAGTAACCATAAAATACGGATAAAACGGATAAAAGACAAGTGATGCATTGGAACAAACGCGAACAATTTTGAATGCGCGCTGAAGACATCAGGCATAAACATTTAACTTTGAAGTTGCTGAAGTGATTTTGGTATTCTCAATTCATCATGTTCAACTAAAGTTTTTCTTTTTTTTCTAAAAAAATCAAACTTGTTATTAGTATTTGATTCTGCTAAAATATAATTCCGGGAAATGTATATATAATATGTCTTATCAGTGCTTTGAGTTTTTGTGTAATATAATATTGCGCAATATTATAATATTTGATAAGTATGAATTTCTGAGACATATTGTGCCATAAACTTCTGTTTGTTCATAATCTTTGGTATTAAATACTTAAAGGCACGTCATGCCTCAAAAATGTTGTGCTATTAGTTGTATTTATGTTTTCGTATCTTGTTACCGTTTCATAAAAAATAGTACTCACTCATTGTCCATATAGAACAATTTTGTGATATAATTTGGGACATATTGTGCCTTTAACCTTTTTACAATTTTGATACTAGCTTTTAAAATCCAATATCTTTCTTTCATAAACATCTTTTCTTTATATGTTTGATATGTTTCAATGTTCAAATTGATTTTTGTTTTTGTTTCTGATTTTCGATATCATTTAGGAAATTAGATATGAGATCAGAATTCTCCATAAATAATTTATTTGTTATTTCTATTACATTCGATTAATGTTCAGTAATACCAACTTTGTCTTTTTTGTGTTTGTTTCAGTAACAATGCATGCAATTTTATGGAAAAAAAAATAGAAAATGAAATTTTAATCTCTTTCTATGCTATGCATAAATTTTATTGCAAGTTAAATGATTTCTTTTTTTCTTTGAAAAAAAATTAAACACAGAAAAACACACAAACAACATGAAAAACGATCTATGAAAACATATCATTGAACATACGTTTGAATATATCTAGGACTAAAATTGTATATATAAACAAAGCAGCCTGGTTTAAAACGGCCAAGCATTTTTAAGATACCTTTGTTGTTAGATAAGATTAATAGTTTAGATTCATTTTCAGTTATGGATCCGTTTGTTTTTATTTAAGTTTAACTTCTATGACATAATAGTTATCATAAAGTTAGAAATGTATATTTTCTTATAATATTTTTAAAAGGCATTTATTCTTTTTAATGAAATACCTGAAGATAGTGTAGAACTTCTCACAATTTGTGTAATAAATCAACTTAACGTTTAACTTTCATTATTTCAGCGTAATGCGTAATGAATGGACTATTAGTGCTAGCATTTCTTAGGTCAGTGTATTTATTGACTTCTAGCGAAAATGATTAATGTGAAATCGACTGTCAGTAAAATGGACATTATTTTACAACTAAAGAGATTGTACGATTAGCCTAGAATGAAAGCTTATTAGTTTAGCAACCTCTTTGAGTAAAGATATTTTAGAACATTGTATAATCACTTTTGGAACATACAGTTATCTGTTTAATGTCTGCATAATCTTGAATATTATTTCAAAATTATTAACTGTTGAAGATGTGTCATATTACCATAAAATCGTTTGAAATAAAACGTTGGTTGAGTGAGATCTGTCTTCTTTCTGAACCGGGTTATATAATTATGATATTTACTCATCATTAAAACAATAGATTTTCATGACACAAAAATCACACCATCTCATATATTATTAATAATGATATACCGCATTTTTATTACATTTTAACCATTTGATGTTTTTGTCACATTTCAATTCACTTTCAATTCATCACTAACATAATTTATCTTATTTTATCTTTATTAATTCATTTTATTTATTTATTTATTATTAATTTATTTATGCATTTATATTTATTCATTTATTTATTTACTAGTATTCATATTGTTATTTATGTATTTACTTATATTTACTTATTTATTCATCCCTTTATTCATTTATTTGTTTATTTATGAATAATTAAAAAAAGTAAAAATCTTCCTATCATTAAATTCTTTATTAACTGCTTTACATGTGTTTTACGAGTAAACTTCCTGTTCATTTTGTTAAAAGTTAGAAAGAAAAGGAGCTTATCTTTCAGATATTTGTCACTTCAAATATTTTTTTCGATGCCCATACTGTATAAATGGATAATTTGGAAACACATCCCGGTAAATATAAAAATTATATTGTTAGAGCGCAATATGTTTTCTGATATTTATTTTAAGACTTCTAAGCATAGTTACTGTAGTAAAATGAGAAAAATAGTATAACACTATACCATTATACTAAAAATAACTGACTGATTTTTTCTCATTTTAATATCATTATTATTATTATTATTATCATAATTTGTTTATTTTTGTTATCATTATCATTTTATTTATCTAAATAGATATTATATTTTTGCGCTAGTATTTTTTTTTTAAAAAAGGTGATTATTGATGATGTTTATAATAATTAAACTTTAGGTAAATGGATAAGTATTTTATATAAATAGATAGCTGATTGACAATAATATGTTACTACTAGCTTAAAAAAATATAATATCAATATCAGTTTTAGATAGCTTTTAACTATTTTCCTCTTACTTTTGTTGTTTACTTACTACATATTTTCATTGTAACAATATGATGTATGATGGAAAATGTTAAATAAAGTAACGAATTGTCACAAAAATAAAACAAATGTTTGAGTTATATTATTACTCTCCATTTTGTCGTTGATCATATCCTCTTCAATAAAACAGGGGTAAACCATATATCATGCAACATTTTCATCTCAATAAATCATAATCAAAGGCAAAGATCATATTAACGTATGAGGAATGCGATGAAAAATGTATCATGTATATTCATTAATTGAACAGTATTAGTCCATATGCCCGCACTATACTAATTACGGAGAATGAACTGCATTAATGACAGTATTACTTATCATTTTAAAAGTATAAGAAATACATTCTTCTATGTATGCGTATATGTGTTCATCAAATAACTCCGAACAACGATTTCCAACATTATCCTTCGAAAAAAAGATAAAGGGATATCATCTGCAAACGGACAGGTACAATGCGTTTGAGGTTTAAAAGATGGGGGAATTATTCCCCTAAGTCTGCCAACACACTCTATCTTTCTTTCTGCATGTACATTTGTTGCTGAAAAAGTGCCTTAAGGTAGACCCCCGGAAAAAGGACATCTGGAATTTCCTTTTTTATTCTGGAACGCATTGAAAATAAAAATCACCAAAAGAAGTCAAAAACGGCAAAATTGAAAATATTGCAGGCTCCGTTTGATTGAGCGTACTGTCAATGGCAAACTACCGTCCACGCCAACTAGCACCGACTTAAGCAGACATTCAAAAAAGAAAATGGTGAAAGTTTGAATTTCGAAACTTCCGCAGTTTGCATATTTTATAAGTATATCGATGGATAAAATTTGAAAAAAGGAAAAATTAGTGATACAGAATTCAAAATTTAGAATACAAATTAAAAAAAATCCAAAAATTATCTTTTTCCAAATTAAGATCTCCTGACTTTTCATTGACCATTAAATTAATATACTGTCTTTCTGGAAAAACTGGTATTTCATCCCATTCTAGTAATTACACCATTAAAGCCAATGTTGTTTTTCTGATTCTCGTCAATCATTCAAAGTACCAGTTTTGCTTGCTCGTTAAACAAAAAGTAATGAAAATGAAATTGAAAATGTTCTACCAGGGATCTTCAAATATGAATATCTTCCTTTAAACGACGTTTTACATGAACTATGACCATGTATCGCTAAGCTCTCAATTGATACAACACATGTGTAAATCAGTTCAGTCTAGCTTTGACGATAGTTCGATTAACGTAAAATACTCGTGTAAAAAAGCTAAAATGGTTGGGAAAAGGTCTCCTTTCTCTGATCAAATACGGTCCTATATCAAGAGTTACTCGTTATAGAGACTTTTGTTGTGTCATTTTAAGCAGCACGCCTCAAAATTCATGTTAATTTTCATTATAAAATTTTGGAAAAGTATGTAAAAGTAAAATGATGTGAGGTGAACAAATAAATTAAATTATATATTGCAATCGGCACTTACAATCCACGAAAATTAGCAAAAAGTGGTCAACATTTGCAAAAGCAGCCCTAACTGCGTTTCTAACGCAGTAGAAATATTGTGATAAAATTCTGAAAAACCAGTGTTAAACCGCACGTAACATGTAAAATATAACATAAATCTTGAATGTTTTTACCTTTCTTAAAAGTTTAGTGCATTTTTCTCAATATTGATTTTCTTGAAATATTTTGGCTTATCTGGAGGCGTGCAGCTTTAACATATGTGTACGTTACTAAAGTCTAATGCATCCAAATATCACCAATAAATGTTATGCAAACTATCAGTTTTAACACGATTTCGTTGAAATAACTTCATTCATTGTGCTTGCATCGCCAGTATTGTCCAATGATTTATTTAGCAAAACACTTTGGTAAATTAAGCTTAAATCTTCATTTTTAATGCTGAAAATGAGCTATAGTAATGGCTATAGAAATGGTTATATGTCATGTATCATTTAGGTTGTTTTAAGAAATATTTCACCTTTGAATGCCACCCTATTTTAGTATTTATGTTTTTTCCTAATTAAATAAAGAGAATTACGATTGATTTCCACATCTCTATGTCTCTCATAATGCTCATTAGTTCGACTACACCTAGTCTCATTAAAAAATATTTACATTGTCCTTTTAATAACTTTCAAAGTATTGCATATTGGTAAAAATGGTCTTTCCCTCTAAATTCACCTAAATTCACCAGTCGTGTGTTTTCACTTTTTAGGAACAGAACGTCTTGAAATGTTCAACTGTTACTGTAACACCAATGGTAGTAACTATTTTAGCTATCAGGAGGTCGTTTACGCCTTTGATTCTTCCGAGGACCTCACTTGCACACTAAAAACGTCTTGATTCAAACATGACAGCCGAAGGTTTCAACTTTACTGACAACATCGCCACGAAGTTTATGTTTTTCCGAAACTTACACAGTTATAGACTTATATAAATCTAAGTTCAACATTTTTTCTTGTCTCTGAACTTCTAATAATATATTTGTCTCTTGCAGTTTTCTCTTATTGTCGTAGTAATGACAATAGTCTTTGATAATATTTCGGCTTTGCATCAAGTCATCTAAAATGGAATTGAAAAAGAGATTACAAAAAAGCATTGTCCGATCTTAAGTATAAAACAATTTATCATAGGGGAATAAATGTACGCAAAAAGTAGCCATCTTCAGAGAAATGCATACTTAAAAATTGGGTGCACTATAAAGCAAAATGTTTGCTCAATGTCAAATACATCTTTCTTGATCAAAATGATGATTTAAATAACATGTGAAACTGTTACTGACGAGATAAAAAGAGAGTGGAATAAAATGAGGCATTTTCCTTATGGTCACATGGTTGTCGGTATGACTGGGATTACATCACTAGTACGTAAGTAAAATGTAATTTATCACGCTCAATATTACCTTTCAAGTTTATATTCCGAGCGTTATTAAATGCTTACTGGAAATCACATTTGTATAACATAATTAATCTGAAATGAAATGACTAGTTTTACAATAAAAACTTAGTATGAATCATACACAATGACATTATCTATATATAATTATCTGTTAATAAATGTCATTTTTAATAAATGTCATACATTGATGATTCTTAAATTATTAACAATGTACATGTATTCTAGATTTCGAGCATTGTTTACCAAAATACGCTTCAGTTGTTACATTATAAAGCTACCCAGGATAAACTTGAAATTGTTTATTTTTACTTTACATACTTTATAAACATCTTAAAAGCAAAAGGAATGTTAAAATATAGCCTTATGATTATTTATATCTTACGAAAATTCAAAAATCTTTACTGTTTTAATCGACAAACCCTGATTTATAAACACGTGAAAACCATAATTCATTCATAGTATGTGATAATCGGACATTTACGAGGCTAAAAATTGTAAAAATACGTTACTACAATAGGAA